TCTAAAAATAACTTTTAAAATTTTTTTTAATAAAAATATAAATTTACCACTCATAATAATATTAAAAATATAAAAATTCTCACCAACCAAATCAAACAGCCTTGAGATCTCAGGGAAAAGATGTCCCAACCTCCCCTGGTGATTACTGGTTGTCTTCTGAATAGCCGTCAAAATCACTTTAATTTCCTCCAATTTCCCCTCCATCAGCGTCTTTGTTTGTTGCTGCCTGTAATTTTCATTTTTAATTTTTTTATATACAACAAGTGATACCATCCCCATTTAAATCATGTAAATTTGGGATTTTAAACATAAATTTTAATTTTTTTAACAATTAAAACAAACTCTAAAGAGCTTATTTATTTTCCTTTTCATTTGTAATATCAAATACCATAATTGTATTTAATAGATGGAAAAGTTTTTTCATAATTAATTAATATTCATAACATTACATATTAATATCTATAATATTTTCAAATTTATAACTAAGAGCTGTTCTAAGTGCACTCGCTTTTTGCACCCTCCGGCCAACACTTCCCTTTGCATTGGGCCACATAAGCTTCTTTAAAGCTTTCAGGCGCAACCTCTTGGGAACCAAAATAACGTGGCCCAATAAAAGAGAAAGTGTTGGCCGCACCGCCGCAGAGTGCATAAGGCGAGTGCTCTTATAACTAATAGTTATATCTTTTTTTTGAGGATAACTAATAGTTATATCTAGCTGGATCCAAACATATCTAGTTAGATCCAAATATAATAGTTGCAACTAGTAACATTCCTCCTATATGTATCTATCATATGTCTTAACGGAGCAAAATAAAGAATATTAATTATGTAATTATTTTTATTTTTATCTTAAAAATAAGGTTTAATACTTTTTTGGTTCCTCTGCTATAGGAAAAAACTTTTTTTTGATCTTTAGATCAAAAAAATCTCTTTTTTTATCATTATTATTCATAAATTCGATCCCTTTTTAGTCTTTTTGTTAAATTTTAACTAATGTGACAGGTTAATTAATGAAAACACTCATTTTTTTAACTAAATTACATGAAAAATCCACGTGACAAAAATTAATAACATGTTAAATTTTTTACTTTTAATTACTAATATACCTTCATTTTCTTCCCCGACTTTTCCTTCCTCTAGCTTCTTTTTCTTTTTTT